TCCTCGTGATGCCGACAGGCCTGTCAGGACACCTATGAGAACCTGTTCAGCCTCTGATTCCCACATTGGGCCTGTGGGTTCAGATGGGCTTTTGAATCACCCTGTCAAATAGTGCTGCAAAAACAGAAAGGGGAAAGAAAAGAGTGGAAGAGATCACTGTATGGCAGAGGACTCAGATGAGTGAAGTTTGTGCATTTTCAAATTTAGCGGCTCTGTCAGCTAGCTTCAGCTGTTCCTGCACTGGTTGTGTGGAGGCTGTGTCAACTGCTAAGTGGGATCCCTCCTTGGACTTGTAGTCTGAGACCTTGCATTGCATCTTTGAGAACACAGATCAACTGATGATCCACTCCTCTTTGAAAATGGCCGGGGGGGGGGGAGGAAGGCATAATGCTAGAACATATCCTAGGCAGAGAAAAAACAGATGTCCCAGGATATCTACATTGATGTTTTTCCACAAATCTAATTTTTTCTAAAACTCCTTTTTCTGACTCATGAAGATCATGTCCAGATCTTGTAAGGAAAAGGATATTTTGAAGATCAATATTTAGCTTTCCCTCTCCATATGGATGGCACCTCGTGCAAGAGTGCAATGGAGGAGAGATGACCATAATGCAATTTATACTTGAAGGGAGAGAGACTCATCTTTTCTGTTCGTGTCACAAATGCTTGTAGCTGTAATTACACAGCACAAACATTGCTTAGCATTAATCCTCTTTTTCTATGGAGGTCCATTCACAAATCCCAGAGATCCCTCTGTTTTTTACCTTCGCTTTCTTCCTTGAGGGTTTACCTTTCATGGTTCAGTGATCCATGGTAAATAATCTTTTAATAGTAGGGTTCTGGGGGATGGATGGCTGCTCCAAGAAGAGACATTTCTTTCTCTGTTGCCTTGGCATCCATTGAATTAATGACTCTTCCTATCAAGTAGCCAGAAATGCATGGACAAAATTATCTTGTTCCACAGCAGGATGAGAGGTGGTAGCCCATCCTTGATTTAAGAAGCTTAAATACCTGCAAATGTGAATTCAAGTCACTTTGGCATTCCCAATTAGGGAAGAGGGCTGTCCTCTGATTTGCAGGACATATATTCTAACACTTGAAATCCAAAAGTTTACAATTATATGTTGATAGTGAAATGCTGGTGGTCTGGCCTCATCAGTAAGGCTCTGTCAGCCTTAACTTGGATTGTAACTGGGGTGACACCCTCATTTTTCTTACCAGTGTAGGTGCAAACTGAAGACTTCTGTGTGGTACCTCTTATGCTCTTTTTTTTTTTATTTCTTTGACTTCCTGTCTTGCTGGGGTTTTTTTTGGTTAAAAGAAACTGTGTGAAGTACCAGTTGGTAGCAATTCAGCAAAGAAATGAACCAGTATCAGCCAAAACCTGTTTCTGCACAGCAATGGATCACTTAGACAAGCTTTTTCTCAAAATGCAAACTGGTTTTCATACGGGAAGGGGCCATTTCAGCCTATCGTTCAACTGTCCTCCACCCATGTCTCTCTCAGATCCCAGTACTTGTAAGTTCAGAGGTGCCTAGTAAAGTCATTTATTTGACAGGGAATGCTTTACTTCGTTAATATCTGAATCTCTTTGTTTCCAGATGTGAGTATTTGTCAGGTCTCTGATAAGTAGATTTGTGATTCAGTGAGTGTGAATGACTGAATGTATTATCTTGGTTACCATTTGATCTGCAGCAGGGTGGCTCAGAACCAGGTCTGTACGTATGGTGGTTGCAGTGTCTGTCACAGGCAGTGTGCCTTGGGGATCCCTCTGGCTGTTTTCAGTCTCTGTGAAAAGCTTTCTGGAAATTAACTTGCCCATTTTCATTCAAGTTGCCATTCCTTTTGGGCAAACTAGTGTTTCTGCATCATGGGTGAAAACAGAAATTTAACTCTGCATTCAAGGACCCAAGCCTTGCCCTTCCACTGAGCATTGCCTCCCTTTGAGAGGACTAATGTGGATAGTTGTTCTTTTCTGATATAGTCTTGTTTCCCTGCTTTGTCAGATCTCTCCTGCCTGTCCTGTTCAGCTGTTAGAGAGAGGATCTCTACAAGAAATGTCATCCATGCGTGTGCTTGCTTTTCTTTTCACCCTCCTCAGTAGACAAATATGTATCAGTATTGTGGGCTGAGAAGAAATGATGTGTGCTCCAAGTGGCATAGTATATGTTGAGAGGGGTTGACACTGAGATGGGAATGGACCTGTGGAAGGTTGAGTTGTCTTGGGTATTTGCCCTACAGGGGTTGAATGGGTGCTTTGGTTTGGAAGTCCCAGAGAAACCCAGGCAGTGATAAACTTCCTTTTCCATTGAAAACCAGTTACTAGAAATGTTTTGTTTTTCCATGATACTTTGGATGTTTGAAGAGGATGCATTTCACAAATCAGCTGTCTTAAATGAACTTTAGGCTCTTTTGGCTGGCAGTGACCAAGTTTAGTTGTAACTTGATCAAGGTGAAAAGGTGTAGAAGGTCACAGGTGCCTCTCTAGAATTGCTGTTGACTGTCCTTAAACTTTGTTGAGTCAGAGCTTTCTCTAACCACAGAGGAGTGCTCGTTTGCAACACCTCACCCAATGGCTTAGTAGTTTGAAAGCAAGATTGCCATTAGAAAAGGGCACCTGGTGCCATTCTGGCATTCAGCTGAGATGCAGTTAGGAGCTTTCCAAACACTTTATACCTGTGGGAAAGTATTTGTAAGCCTGAGGATAGGATGCTCTTTCACAATGTTATGTCACAGTGATGATGCACAAAGTCATGCATTAAAGGAGCAATGTAAGCATGGCTAGAGGGAGAAGGAGCAGCTACGAGGGACATGGCAGAAGCAGGTGCTCTGGGAGCTGCCTTTCTTGAAATCATCTGGTGGTAATGAGCAGTTGGATATGTTGTGCCCAGATGAACAGTCTAGTGTAATGCAGTCAGACTGTGGTTGCAAAAGAAAGTATCTCTTTCTTTTTTTTCCTTATTTTTTTTAATTCTGTGGATCACTGTAGTCTAAGACAGCATTAGATTTGAATTGTGTTGGTTGTACTCTTGTAGATGCAAGCAAGGGTTCAGGCCTGGGGAGAGTTAAAGCAAAGAGAAATAGCTAGTGCTGAAAACAGATTAGGTTACTAATACTTAATTAGAAGAATTTAGAATATGTTAAGCTATAGAATTGTAGCACTGGGAGTATACAACAGCAAGTATCTGATTGAAGTAACTGCTTTGTTTAGTAGGTTGTTTAGTCTCATCAGTTTAAGGCATTAATAGTTTGGATTCTCCTATTGAACACAACTACATCAAAAGAAAAAGCCCTATGGAAAATAAAACTGATTGAAAAAACCGAGGTCTGGCATTCAGCTTAATGGTATTTCTGTGACTGTGGTTTCATGTATTTAAATTCATGCAGGACTCTGAGTACTTAAAAATAAACAAACTGATATTTACAAATATTCCAAGTCTCTCTTGCAATCTCACTTGTAGACATAGAAGCATGTAAGTTCAAGATTAATGAAAAGTTTTCCTTTGATCACTTAAGCGCGACTGCTACATGTCTCTTTGAAATGTTGTATTTAGTTATCTTGATCATGTTATGTGGTTTTCTCTCCAAATCTCTAAAATGAGAAATTACTCTATTAATGTTTCTGATTAGGATTGGAGTTGTTACACCTGTGTTTCAGTGGGGAAAATGAGTGGAATTGGAAGTTATGGCTAAGTTGCATACAGATCTGAATTTTCTTTGAATTAGTAGGTAATAATATATATTAACTTTCAAATATTTTTTTATCGTGTAGGTTCTTTTCTCTGGTTTTCCTGACTCTTTAAAATGTTTACTTTAAAAGACATCTTTCAGAGTTTTGATTAGTTAAGGTTATGTGGTAGTGAAGCCTTTTTTCTTTCTTTGATAAGAATACTAGTTGTACTGTGTGGTGGTTGTCTGTGTCTGTCCAGCTACTGGAATTCTGCAAGTAACAAGATAAACTTATATATTGTCATTTAGAAGCACTAACTGGATTCTGAAACAAAGAGTTTCTTTTAGAGAGGTGTGTATTTACATAGGTAATTGAATATCTGAAACTTCCAGGCTGTTAGGAACATCTGTTTCAAAATTGGTGAGTGGAGGTGTTGTTTTGTTAAGATTGATAATTAGCTAATATTTAAATAACGAAGTTAGCAGCCTGGACCACACTAATGGTACTTTGTCAGAATTAAGCCTCATTCAGGCTCAGATCCCACGCTTACCTGAGTCAATATACATATTTGAATTGCCTTTGGTAGGCATCATATGAACCCCTCAGTACACATGGCAGACAGGTACATTTCTAGTGTACCTGTTATTAAGCATATTTGTATCCCTAACCTGAGTTCAGGGACTGACAGGGCAGGAAAAAAACATTCAAAAAGGGAGTATCATTACCCATGAAACAATCCTTCAGCTGTTGTGCTTTTGTCACCTGTTTTAGAAAGGAACAGTGTTCTGCATGCAGCAGAGCATCTTTGTTCCTTTAAAAGAAGTTTTCTGTTTCTTGGCAGAATATATGAGCTCAGAATTGATAGTAAACTTAGAAAAAACAACTTTGGATGGATGTTTGCTATAGGATGGCTTTCCCCAGCTGTCTTTGGCTTGCGTTTGCCTGAGTAGACCTCAACACTGTCATGCAGTCAGCCAGTAGAGGGTAGTATGTTCATGGAGACACGGCGTTGCCTGAGTCTGTTCTGTCACTGATGTACATAACAAAAACCTGCTGGCTGAATATCAGACAAGTTGGCTTGATTCGATGGTCTTTTGAGGCCATCCGATACCCCACTCAACACCAGAGATGAATTAGTCCGAATTAGTCATGCAGTCACTTTTGACCAAAACTTCTGGGGAAAAAGCTTGCTGGAAGCAGAGATTGATTATGCATCCTGGGTAATGACTGTGGTTTTGGTACTCCCATTCTATAACAAATGAAATAATACTGATTCTGATAAGTCTCATCCACCTAACTTTATTTTTTCTCACTCCTTCTCAGTGTTGGACTTTGCCTTGCCAGCCCGCTGCTGCTATGGGTATACCAGTCTTCATACTCGCTGGTCTCCTTGTGCATTGTGTGTTCTTGGCCTCCATTTTTGACATCTACTTCAGCTCTCCCCTGGTTCACGGTATGACTCCTCAGCAGACTCCACTGCCACCTCCGGCAAAACGTCTTGTACTCTTTGTTGCTGATGGTCTGCGGGCAGATTCGCTGTATGAATTGAACAGCAATAATACGTCCCAAGCACCTTACCTGCGGTAAGTCCATCTGAAAATGCTACTGATCCAGAAGATTTTGCTTCTGGGGGCAGCTCTATGTAGTGTTGAAAAGAGAACAAGAGTAACAACAGCAGCTGTGGTGGCTTGGGTACTGCCTTCCCTCTGCCTTTGAAGTAACAAACTTCAGAGTTACGCTCTGCAGAAATGCAGAAATTTGAGTTGGTGTCCCTTGTTGTCAGTAAAGCTGCTAAACCATGAACAGAGTAAATTGAGGCAATATTGTCCTCTGAAAACTACAGCTAGCCAGTGACTGAGTGTGAACTTTCTCCATTCACATCAGCATGGTATCAATTCTGAAGCCTAACAGAGTCATTAATTTAAACTGCTTCCTGGATGTTTAGTTTAGGAGTAGTAGCTCATTAACGTGCTTGTCTTCTAATTCTAAGCTACTGATGAAGCTTTTTAAGGAGCGATTAAAAAAGATGGCCTGAATGGATCTAACAGCAGGCTGCCACTTCCTATTTGTTACACCCTTCCTGCATACGTGACCCTGCTGCCTCCCTTGTACTCTCTAGTGTGTGTCTGATTGCTTAATGGAATGATTCGATTTAAGATTGTGGAAAAACTAATCCTGCCAAAAAAAATGTTAAAAGTCATATTCTTGAGTGCTTAAAACTAATTTTCACCAACCTTTCCTGTTTCCTTATATCAAGATAATTATTTGATCATAAGACCAATAATCTCTTAGACTAAAAAAAGTAGACAGTATTAAATAAGACTACTTTTGTGTAATAGCACTGGTCTGGGTTGAATATCAGAGCAAACCTGAATAATCCATCATCTGAAGCTGTTAGGGCATTTGCAGTCTGCTACAGAAATCTGAGGAGCCCTTGCCGCAGCACTTGCCAGCTTAGATGGCATTACTTGTACCTGCTTCTCCTGTTGTTAGTGTTTTGTAAGGGGCTATCTGCTACATCAGTGTGAGTTTTCCATGTCATCTTTTAGCAGTGGACTTCACACTTCCTCTAGAGCAGTTTCTTGTCTTAGCAGTAGAACTGTTGGTCTTTTGCACCATCAACAAGGTGTGGATGTCATAGTGGCCTCATCACCAGCAGTGGTGAGTAGTGGTTAGGAAAGAGTATAAATGGATATTTTTCCCATTAAGTGATTTGAATTTTTCAGTTTTAGGCACTCAGCATTATCATGCCTATCTAGAAATAAAAAGTTAAACCATGTATTTGTGCTGATTTTGGCTGGGGTAGAGTTAATTTTCTTTGTAGTAGCCCGTATGAGGCTATGTTTTGGATTTGTGCTGGAAACAGTGTTGATAACACCAGGATGTTTTTGTTATTGCTGAGCAGTGCTTACACAGAGCCAAGGCCTTTTCTGCTTCTCACACTAGCCTACCAGTAAGTGGGCTGTGGGCGCACAAGGATTTGGGAGGGGGACACAGCTGGGACAGCTGACCCCAACTGACCCAAGGGATATTCCATGCCATGTGATGTCATACTCAGCATATAAAGCTGGGGAAGAGGAAGGGATGGACACACACACACACACACACATATACATGTTCGCAGTGATGGCATTTGTCTTACCAAGTAACCATTGTGTGTGATGGAGCCCTGCTTTCCTGGGGATGGCTGAACACCTGTCTGCTAATGGGAAGTGGTGAATGAATTCCTTGTTTTGCTTTGCTTGTGCATGCAGCTTTTGCTTCACCTATTAAACTGTCTTTATCTCAACCCACAAGCTTTGTCACTTTTACTCTTCTGATTCTCTCCCCTTGCATCAGGATGGGGGAGTAAGCAAGCAGCTGTGTGGGGCTTAGTTGCTGTCTGGGGTTAAACCACAACAGTATTAAACCATTAGTTTGCACTTCTGCTCTCCCTGCTTTACCTTGTTTGTGGAGTTACAGACTTTCTATTTCAAAATCTGCAGAAGTAAAACATTGTCACCTGTGCTGAAAGTACATAGGCGAATGGAGGGAAAGAACTGCTTTGTAACAAGCAAAGATGCTGGTAGGTCACTGAGTGGAATAAAATGCCAGTAGAGGTTTGAAGTGCCATCTCTCATCTCATTCTGCATATAAATACATATATGTGTGGGGATGTATATGTGAGAGATGATGAAAAGAAACAACACATGCCTTCTGAAAGGTGGAGGGCCAGGCAGTCCAAGGGGTATCTTCAGCTCTATTACACATACTGCTACAATTTCAAAGCAAGAGGCTCAGTGTTTTGTCACCGAACTTTTGAGCTACACAACTTCTGTAAGTTAACCTTGTAAACAGGCTGACAAGATGAGATGTTGGTTGCTGGAAGTGCTTCCTTTTTTATTCTGCCAATTTGTTGCTGTCTGAGCTTTCCTTGCTAAATAATATTAACCCAAAGTATATGCAATTTAATATAAAGTTCACTTTTTTGCACATTCATTCCTAAGTGCCAAATGTTCAGTCCCTTTATCTGCTTTATAGTAACAGGCAATGTAACAGCCAGATTACTTGTCTCATCCAGGTGGAGCATTTTGGGAACTACTGCGTTGTTAGTGAGGAAGGATTATCTTTAAATGAGCAAGAACCATTCTTGTAGCAATGCACTATAAATAGAAGCAAAGTTTTTGCAGGTACACGAAATTAATAATAAATATCCATTAGGCTTGGAGCAGATTGCTGGCTGATATATGCCAAGTACCTAATCTTTTCTATTGTAAATATTCTTGAAAAATCTGTTTTTCAGCATTGAGGGACAGTAGGTGGTCTGAATTGCTGTGGTGGTGGTGATTTCAGGGAAGATGTTTTCTTCCTTGCCTGTCATGTTTCAGCCATATTACTATATCATACTCATATTCATTGTTATTATGGGTAGTAAATGTTTATACTGTCAAGGAAATTAATTTTTAAACGGTTTTTCTAAGTTAAAAGACTTTGAAATAATTCAAAATAGATAAATGAATTTTGAACAGGTAAATGACAATATCTGGCTATATTTTTTTCTGCTCAGTATGTGTTATTGTTAACTTCAGATCCTGAAAAGGAAAGGTAAAGGATTACTTTCCAACTCAATAGAAATAAAAAAATTCTGATTAATTTCCTACCTGTTGTGACAATGAAGTGTGAGGAAGGCCGAAAGTGTTTTATTTTTGTCTTAAATCTTCCATTAATGCTAATAAAATACATTTTGATCCAGTGAGAATAAATTAGAAACCATTTAATACTTAAATCCTTTTTTCAGTACAACTTGTCCTAAAACCTAGCTGAGATGAGAGCTAGGAATAACATGCCAGAGTGCTATATCACCTTTTGCATTTTTTGCTGTAGTATTTGGGCTACTCCAAATAGTCCTGTGAGCTTTCAAGTATGCATGAGAATGTGAGGTCTACGATGAGTTTAAAAAAAAAAAAAAAAGGCAAGCAAACTGTGAATCCTACCAGCTTAGGGTGGAGCCTGAAATTTTAGGTTGTAGTTTGATTCTTAATTCATTAGTGAGAAATATATTTAGTATATGGATCTTATAATTAACAGTTGTATAAAATGTCTGTTAAAAATAAAATCACAAAGCGTGAACTTAAAATCTACTTGGGCTAAAACACATCCAATAAAAGTGTAGCAAGTTTTGTAGCTTATATTATGAACCAGAAAAATACAATTTCCTTGTAGATTTGACTCTTAAAAAAACGCTTTGAATTTGTTCAGAAGATTCTGCTGCTTTTTTTCCCTAAACATTAGTAAAAAGGTATGTCCTGGTGTGTTTTGTTTTCTTTCTTTCTCCCTTTGCTCTGACAGTGGGCAGTGAATCTTTCTTTTCTCCCAGAAGATGGAGACAAGAAAACAGCATATGGTGATGCTTACTGCTTGCTCTCTGACAAGCTTCAGCTGTTCATATCTTCAGCAGACAAGAGTAGTTTATGAGGCTGTTTCTTATACTTGGGCTTTGTCCTCTATTTTCTTTGCTTTTTATCTGTTAACCTATTGTATGTGCATACTACCTAGACAATTTATGTATTTCTGTGGTGAGAAGGTATTCTCCTTCACTTTGGTGTAATTGCAAAAGATACAAGGTTTACTTCTATTTTCTCCGTGTTGCTGAAATGATTTGCACCTTAGATTTACGTGGCTTTTAAATTCTCTTGATGCTTGTTTCCAATATTCAGCATAGATAAAGGTAGACAGTAAAGAGTCACAAGAACTAATTATAATTGAGCATATTTAATGAGTAAGAGAAGATTGAACTAGACACTTTCAAGCTAAATGGAAAGAGCAAAGAAAAGTAACACCAGGGAGAAACAATCTGTTGGGGGGTGGGGGGGAAGTAAACTAGCAGAAAGCAGGAGAAAAAAACAGTATGTTAATTCTAAGAGTATTAGAACACCAGCTAATCCTGACTGTTTGCAGTGCTGATGGACCACAATAGTAATGTTCTCTGTGGGGTGTTATAATATAGAACTACTTGCAGGTTAATGTTCCGCTTATTTTGCTGCACAGCAGGCGGTAGTGAAAATCTGTTTTAGTATCAGGGTTTTTTGTATTTCCTGCCTCACATCTACTTGTCACTCTTTTTATCTGCAATTCATTGTACTTTCAAGAAGCCATAAGCATTAACTGCCTTGTGTCCTGTTTCAGGAGTATTCTAGAGAATAATGGCAGCTGGGGAATCTCTCACACCCGGGTCCCAACAGAATCCAGGCCGGGACACGTTGCACTTATAGCTGGATTTTATGAAGATGTCAGTGCAGTTGCTAAAGGTATGCTGGTCCTCAAGCTTTGAACGCTGTCCTGCAAAATAAGATGTTTGTGATGTGCTGGACTTCTAGGTTACTGTTGATAAATACCTGCATTGTGGTTTGTATACCAAGATTATATGGAAAAGATCATCTGCTCTAGGTGATCCTGCTCTAGCAGGGGGGTTGGACTAGATGATCTCTAGAGGTACCTTCCAACCCCTACCAATCTCTGAATAGTTTTGGATGGATTTCCCACTCTTAATATCGATAGCTATGAAGATAACTTACATAAAATTTAGGACACTGAGTCTAAAAGCAGAAATATCTTATGGAGTGACCTCTTCATGTAACAGTTTTTAATTATTGTTTGGGGTGTAATGGGAGATGGCTAAGTAGATGTCGCAAACAAGAAGTGAAATGCAGTCTTAGCTTGAACCATAGCTAGGTTGAGTTGGAGAATCAGTAGCAAAATAAAGGGAAAACCCCAACTATGTGTTTTGTCTAGAACTAGCTGTTACTACATGCTTGGTGGTTAATAATGTGGAACAAACCTTTGCATTACTGACTTGGTCTTTTGTGTAGACGTCTACCTTCCCCAAGGCTTCCAGGCCTGAACACTTGTAATGTTGTGTGTTGGTTTTGGACAGGGGAGGTAAGAGGACTTACTTGGTCTTGTCCATGTTCCTAATCAAAAGGTTCTTCCTTGTGACGTCTGCTACAAATGCAGGATTGGCAGGTATTGCCATTAAGAGCATCTTTATATTTCTGTCAGCTGCCTCGTCATGGAAACAGAAGATCTTGAAGGCTTTATTGTGATGAGGTGGAATGTGACTGCTGGAAATATGATATATGAGTGTGTAATTTATTGCCTAAAATGCCAAAAGCTGCATTCAGACAACAGGGGAGTTAGAATTCAGGAGAATTTTAGCTATTTAGAAGGTAAACCAGCTCTGTGTTTTGTCTGTTTGAATCCTTGCATAGATTGGCTTAGATTTTCAGTTCACTTCTAATGAATGGGGGACTAATTGCAAATAGAGGTTGACATGGAAGTAAAACTTAGACTTGCAAAGTGGAGTTCATTGTGAAATAATATAAGGGAAACTTAAAAAAATTGCATGGAATATCAATCCTAGTCAATGAGATCTTCTGGCAACCCCATTTAAATCCAGGTATGTTTGCTTAACAGGATGGAAGGAGAATCCAGTGGAATTTGACTCTGTTTTCAATGAAAGTAAATATACTTGGAGCTGGGGAAGCCCAGACATTTTGCCAATGTTTGCAAAAGGTAAGGTTTAAATTTTATGAATCTTTAACACAGAGTTGTCAAGTAGTAAAATAGAGACCCCTGCAGTTTTTGAGTTAAAGAAGGTGAATGAAGTATTTCCAGTTTGTATATTTGCATACACCTGATTTCTAGTTTATGAATTCAAGACTGGGTAGAGAAAAAGAAGCAAGCTTTTGAAGATGATAACCCTATTTATTACTCATCCATTTAAATAGGCCTTACCTAATTCTATCAGCATACTAAAGAAAACACATCCTTAGTTAAAAGGACCTAATTTTTTTTTTCTTTGGTTGAGGTTTAAAGCTCTTGTTTGCAAGCCTGCAGCTGGGTTTTTTCTTCCTCTGGCTGCAGTTCTATCACCCGACTCACTGGGAGCTGCATGCATGTTTTTTGAGGGTCTGAGCTGGAGAAGTAGCTTATTGTGAGTTATCCTGCCTCTACTCCAGAACAATAATGTTTAAAGGGAAGAACTATATGTAAGCAGGAACTGCCTGGTACTATTCCTGAATCTGAGGTCTTTCCTCCATACTGTGCAGTGTGTTAGTCTTGTCAGGCCAGTGCAATTGGTCTTTGAGCGTGCAGAGATTGCATGCTCAAACATTTAAAGGGTTTCCAGGTTTAAATTAGTTTTGTTCTTGGAACGAGGGCCCTTTCCGATAATGTCAGAATAAAACAGACTGAAGTGAAGAGGGGACAAGCTAGGGGCATGTGCTGCTCTTCTAAGTATTGGCATTGACAAATCAGAAAAATGTTATAGGCAGAATAGGAGTGGAATCTACTATTGGTTTAGAAAAAGTGTACATCATATTTCTCATGATGATTCTTGAACTTTTACTGAACTCCAGGCTCTTCTCCCTCTCCTCCTGATATTCCACGCACACACACCTCTTTTCTGTTCTTTGCTTGATCCTCATAAGTTTATGGTAGGCTGTGAAAATATCTCCTGATAATTTCCCATGACCTCAGATGCAGCTGGTATTTGGGAATATTGTGATAGTGGTTGGGGAGACGGGAAAGGTAGTACACTGCCCTTGCACAGATTATTTACATTTTTTTGAGATATGTTCTTGGGAAAATATTTGGGAAATTCAAGAATTTCCCAGAGCCTTGTCCTGCTAGTTTTGTTTGAATAAGAAGATAAGCAGAGGACTTGGAAGCAGCTTTGATGTTATCTGGAGGGATGTGCAACAGTAATACCATCCTGTTGCTGTGTCTCTTGATATGGCTTGTTCTGAGTGGCATCAACAATGGAGCTTGCTTTTGCAGGGGGAGGGAAATCCCACAAAAACTGAGCACTGTATCTGAGAAGTAGATGTTGCATGGGAAAATGAATCATAGTTTCTCATGATAGAAAGGTGGATTAACTTCTTCTAGTAGAAAAAGATATTTCCTCTCCTTCCAAAGAGGAGAAGTTTTGTAATACAGAAAGGATTTTGTAATACAGAGTTTCCAAAGAGGGGAGGTTTTATAATTCAGAAGGGAATGGAATGAAGTGTTTGTTCTTTACTCTTACAAAAAAGCCAAAAAAGGAGATAGGGAAGCATAACTTAATTTCTCTCCTTTCCATGTTGCAAATTAGCGAGGCCACATAGATAGAATTAGGTGCCTCTCAGAGACAGGTGGTCTTGGATTTGCTGTGACACTGCAGCAAAACAATACAGCACTCTACTATCTTAAACCATCAGTCATTCTGACAGTGATCGCCAGGGCTTATTTCTTCTTTTGAACTCACTTAGCCACCAATTGGAACTCCTAAATTCACTTTTTAATGCCTGGGAGTATTTTCTTCCTTTACTTTCAGACTGTGAGAACTGCAGCAAGTGTTCTGGGTTATAAGTAGTAGTAACATCTCCTGGGGGCAGGGGGGAGCTGCTCCAGAAAATCTGTGCCAGCTTTCATCTTCCTGCCCTGAAAAACCTGCATCCCTTGTGTGGATTTGGACATAATCTTTGTAAAGCAGCTCCCTTATACTGGGATGTTAGTTCATTCACGAGCCTGGAAGCTTACAAAACTGCATTATATAATTGTGACATCCAGCAAATCAGTTATTCTCTCTGGCCATCAACTGATTGAAGAACATTTTCCCCTCTGGGAGTTTATGTAGTCACAGTAGAAATAGCATCCCTGAGCTGTAACAGCTTGGCCATTGACTGAATTATTTCATTAAACACCACCAAACTTTGGATTTCCAGGACTTCAGAAGTTTACTTTCTTCTAGGTCTTCATCTTCCCCCTCCACCCCACCTTCATTCTCTGCTTTGCTCTCCTGACAGTGAGGACAGAATGAAATTGCCTTGTCCAGATGCTGTGTTTTTGCATCAGTGGCCCTCATGTTGTACTTTATGCCAGAGCATAGTCCAGTAGTTCTCCCTTTTATATTTTGAATTCATGTTTTAAAGATGCAGACTTTGAATATTGTATTTCTGAAGTTGTCCACTTGGCATTCGATACTGTGTTGCCTCTTATAATTGATGTAGAGTAACTAAGTTACATCCCTGGGGTTGCCTGCCTTATATGCGATATATGATGTTGTCCTGTGTAAAAGGCCTCATTGATGGAGCATTGTCTTGTATGATTCAGTTTAACAACCAAAAGCTAAGTACATTTTCTTAAATGTACCCCACCCTCAAAACACATGTTCAAACAAGGCTTTTAATGGGTAGCCTCCTCTGTTAGAAGTTTCTCAGTGAAATTCCTTGATTCAAAACTAAATTCTGTTTAATTTTCTTTAACTGGGATTTGTTCTACTCCTGTCTGCTTTTCCATACCCTATTTCCTCATCTGAGTATACTGGATAACATTGCTTCTCATTTCTCTGAGGTGCTGATAAGCTAATGAGTTGAAATGGTATACAGGCTTCAAAAAACCATAAATAATTAGGAAAGTTTAAAAGAGGAGAAAACTACTTTGACTTCTCTCAGGATTGTCATTCCTGATAGGTTTCTACTCCTATGCATTAATATTAATGTATTTTTGGCTATGAGAATAGGAAGAAAACTTTTCTCTGTCTCTTATCTCACCTATATGGTTTTTGCAGGTGCTACTGGAGATCATGTTTATACATTTTGCTACACGGCAGAAAGTGAAGACTTTGGAGCACATGATGCAGCCAAACTTGACTTGTGGGTTTTTGATCATGTTAAGGTGAGCAGAGAATCTTTTTATGCTACCTGTGTATAAAAAGCACAGCTGGATGTGAACTTCATCATAGAACATGGTAACTTTATCATAGAACTAGAAAGTAAGAAATTTTTGAAAGACCTGTCACTTGGGGTCATAAGTAAAAATTGCTTGAATTGATTATCATACCTAGTGTAATGGAAGCTTAGAGGAAGTATTTGTCATTCAATGCTAATAAAAAACCTAACACTAAAAAAAAATACCCTTTAAAAACATTTATGGCTTTTCTTTGTCTTAAATTTGCATATAATCTGAAATCCATCTTAGAGTAGTACAGATCCTTTAAAATCTTGAGTGTGATTAGTTAAGGATTTTATAACAGGTTTTACGACATGGCAGAATGGTAAGTGTTCATTATGACAAAGAAATGGACAATATCATTGACTTATTTTTGGTCAGGTTTGTACCCACTGTTATCATGTAGTGTGTCTTGTTCTGATGCACATAGCTGGCTCCTGATTATCTACAGTGGTTTGTGCTATGCTGTGGCTGCCAGAGGAGTCACAGTTAGTTTGGGTGGGGGAGGAAAGCAGGGACAGAGGCAGCTTAGGTCCTGAAGTAGTGTAACTTGTTCACCTGGTGCTCTGCTCAGCTGACTTGGGTCAGTGCTGGTTCATCCCTGGTGTTTTCTGTGATGCTGTCACTGTAAGTATTAACAGTCAAGCCACATCATTTTTGATTATCAATATTATTTCATTAATTCTTACATTCATGTTATTCCATGCTACCTCGCTTATCCTGGATTAAAAAAATACTAGTAGTGGGTATTGGTGTATAAATATCTGTATCAGTGGAGCAATGAGGTGAGTTAGTTTCTGGATCTTATAACAATGTTAATGGAGTTTAAGACTTAATAAAACTTCTTCCACAAGCTCTCGGGGCTGTATACATTGACATTAGCTAACCAGTATAAATCAAATAAAACCAAACACATCAATAAACCAAATCAGCATCTCTACTAGGAAGCCAAGGGTGGGTCTGCTTTAAACAGTGACATAGGGTGGAGAAGTTCATTATCGTTTGCTAATTTTCAAAAGAAGTGATTTTCTGAGTTTGGAGGTGAAAAGACGTTTTTTCTAACTGCCATCCTCTCCCTGAATGTGCGTTTGTGGCAGGTTGCTTGTTGTAATGCATATGAATAATACAAATCAAATTAGGCTGTCAATTACACTTGAATAGCTGTTGTCTTAAAGTTGCACCCTGCTGTCATTTGGAGCTGTACACGTATGTCAGGGTGGTACTACCTTTCTTTTGCTTCAAAACATCTAATGGCATTTTTTCTTTCAAACTATAATGATAAGTTTAATATATGTGTCATTACTAATGACTTCTTCCTTGGAACCAGCACCATTATTGTAAAGATTTATTTTGCCCATCTAAATTTCACACTGTGAATGGATAGGACTTGATTGATTGGTGTAAAACACTCATTCCATTAATCATCTCTTCAATTACACATCAGTGATTGCTTCAGAAGCATGAAACTTGAGGCTGACTGAAACTGAGGTCACTGCTATTATAACTTGAACAACTCTCAGCTATGCTGGTGAGATTATATATGTAAGTAACAATGACAATTTGGTGAAATCTGAATTCTGCTTTGCCTACTTTTTTTTTTTCTCCATTGAGTTTCATCTCAAATATTTAACAACATATTATTTAACCCTGGACAAGGAAGTAAAAGACACTAACGTGTACTCCCTCTCTCTACTGTGTAGTCAGCAGGTCCCAAGCATAACGAGGGCCACTTATGGCTTCCTCTGCCCCAAAAAACATGAGGATAAAATGGAAAATGGCTAACTAACGTTTGGGCTACTAGTGCTGGCACCCTGAAATTGGTTGTTCTCTTACAAAGTGCTAACTAATGATAACTCAGTTGGTCAGGAGATGAGAAACTCTGACTAGTTTTTGTTTGTGTGGATCAGAAGCAGATTGCTTAAATCACTAGTGGAGAAAAAAAATGTATGATACTTGATAGTTCCTGTCATATCTGCTCATGCTACAAGGTGATCCTAGCCCTTTCTTGGGACAGCGAAAATTCGGTGTAGACTAGACTGAGTGGGGCTTTTATCTGCAGCTGGGTTAACTCAGTAATTTTAAAGTGTGGTAATAGCTTGGGGAGTGCCTTGGAGATCCAGATGGGTATGGAGTTGATTGACTGCGGGTTTCTTCTGGTTTTGGGGTTTTTTTAGAAGCTTTCAAAATAATTAAGGGACTGAGTGTAATTTAGTGTGATGTGGTACAATGATTGTCAGTTAAATAACCTTTACCTAGATAATGGTTTGAGTCTGTGCTAAAGAAAAATTAGGGAGCAAAATACTGGGAGTCTTGATTAACTAACAGGGAAAAGAAAATGGTCTTTTTAATGAATTTCTGATATATTTTTTAAGTATTTAGTGAAAACCAGCTTTATAAGATTGAATTCTTTTTTAGGGTAAAATGGTTAAAATTCCAGGAGCTCAGTCTTGGAGATGAGTCTCAGTGATGGTCTAACCACAACTTATTATGACCACAGGGTAGGATATGCTCAAGTTAGTCAGTTGATGTTTTCTGACTTAAGTGGACATGTAGGTGCAGATGACAAACGTGGTTCTTTTTCTGGTTCTTTTTCTTTTCTCATTTTGAACACAGTATTTCATTCTTCCTTTGGCCCCTTTCTGCTGGAGGAAGGCCAGACCAAGCCTTCAGACTGTCCCTTCTGTGCAGGGCAGGGGCCAAAGTCGAGAATTGAATGATGTTAAACTTTGAAGCTCTGCAGACAGTGCCATGACCTGATGTTGATTTCTGCCAGTGGATTTCAATACAGATTGCTCTGCTCTAACTAGCAGTACAGTGATTGAATTATTTATTTTAAATACATGTAGGAGCATGCTCAACTGATGTAAACCTGGTTTATATATGTTTATCATGCCTTTGTACATTTATTTTACATCTAAAAACTGGCATAGCTATTTAAAATCTCGCATCAGCACACATCAGCATATACAGCTTTAATCAACCAATTTAACGTGTCCTGGATTTATGTACGATGGAGCTTTTTGGTCACTTTCTCCCTGTACATCCATGCAGTCAGCAACAGTTTATCAGCACTATGAAAGGATCGTGCTTCCATGGAGGGCTCTGTTTGGGGGAACAAATGGTCCCCAGCAACTTATGTTAAACATCTGCGGAGCCTATATTTTGTTCAGACATCAGTAAATCATGTATTTGCTAGACCTTCTAGGTGGTGTTTTTTCTTGTTTGCTTTCTTCTATCCAAGCAGGGAGATGATACTAAAAGATTTCGCATAGTTGTAACCGAACTTCTCTTGTAATATTTTAATTAGTATTACATTATAATTAACTTTACAGTTTACTGTGTATGTTTTAATGGGAAACTTATTGCTGAACTTACTAAATTGCATATCAGTTGTAGCCAGTCCATTATTTGTTGTTAGTTGCCAGAAAATCGTAGAAAAGTTGCCAGAATCATAGAAGAAGGTTGGAAGAAAGCTGTAGTGGTCATCGAGTCCAGCTCCCTGCATGAAGGAGGTCCAGTTAAGGCCTTGCCCAGCCAAGTTTTGAGCATCTTCAAGGGCAGACATTGAACAATCTCTTGAGCACCTGTTCCAATATTTGGCTACAGTTATGATTTAAAAAATAATTTTAAAACTCTCTTTATATTATTGAAATTTCCTACATTTCAAATGATGAGTTTCCCCTTGTCCTATCAACAAGGTCCTCTGAGCAGTCTAGTTCAATCTTCTCCTCACCATCCCAGTAGGTGATTGTACACAGCAATGAGATCTCTCCTTAATTGCCTTTTCTTGAGATCGGAGAAACTGAGTTCTCCCATCCCCTTTGTTGTTTACTCCCATCCCCTTTGTTGTTTACTCCCATCCCTGAAACTTCTTGGTGGCATTTGGCTTAAATATACAAGGAGGGTAATATTAGTGAATAGAGTAAATAAAAGGGAAACAAAATAAAATTTAAAAAAAAGACACAGAAGGATATAGTTAACATATAATAGTGGCTTGGAAACTAGTGTTGGCTGGCGGTAGGTCTCAAGTTTTGTGAATAGTGAGCACCAAACAGAAGATGCCTTTAGCAGGCTACGAGGAGATACAAGGATAATGCTGGGCAAACAGTTCAGCAACCTCCAGAGCAAGGTGAAGTGGGTTTTGCCTCTACTGTTTGGTGTCCTGCTTACCAGCTCACCACCTTTATCAGCCTAAGATAACTCATTGGGGTGAACTTCCTATTTGTTTTTTTTCTGTAAACTATTTAAAAAAAAAAAGTTCCGTGGTATAAAGTTTGGTATTTACTCTGGGAAAAGATACCACATCTTAGGTTACACTCATCTTCCTTTAGTCGTCTCATTCTTAATTAGCCGAAGGTTGGGCAAGCCATTCTGGCTGCTGCTGCTCTGGGTTACGAGGTGGCTGGAAGAGTGAGGTGGTTTTGGTACATCATGGGGACCTGTCTGGTGGGAGAAGAGAAGCTCAGGCCTTGTCTTCCTCACAATGGTTTCTCTTGCTTAATCAGTCCATGATAGAAAAACAACTGCCTTCTAATGTTGATCTACATTTTAGGATTTAATTTTGGGAGTTTCCTGTTTGTCTGTTTTGATGTGTTGTTTCCTTTTATTTTGTTAAAAATAGAAAACAGAATTATACTGTATCCTGCAAATTACTGGTGTGCTCTGGAAAGCTTCTTCAGTCTATGGTCAAATATGTGCAGGTGGACTGACTCCTGCGGGACATGGAAATCTCCATAGAAATAATTATACTACTATTGAATGTGATCGGATTTTGTTCTTGTATCTTTATTTAAAATATCTCTGGACTTTGGTCATGATTTTGTTTGGACAAGAGCTGAAGTTGAGAGCACGCAAATATTAGTCCATGCGGCTTGTGTATATTAAGGGAGGGAAAAAGGTGGAATTGTCTACTGCCATGGTTTCCTGACATGGCTTACTATGACACTCTTGCTGTTAGTTTAGTCTTCCTCTAAGGACAGTGACTTTTGTTTACACAAGGTGTGAGCTTGAGTTTTTAAGAGCTGCACCACTGTCACAGGTGTATGGTGGACTGCTATGTCCTTTAGTGGCAGAAATGGTTCACTGGCTTTACCAGCATTTTCCCTGCACTCTTGCATGAAATTCAAAGACACTTTCCTTTATATTAGTGTAGTGAAAGGTTCTCTGGGTGTTCTTTGAACTGAAACCCTACCCAACTTTGTTTCCTTGGGCAGTGCTGTTACTAAGGAGATCATGTTGGAATAGCTGTCTGCCTGCATTTTGCATTGCTGTAATAGGGCTGGTCTAACACAGAATAGCCATGTCAAGACTCATTCAGTCAGAGGGGAAAATCCCCCCTGGCATCTGCCTCAGGGATGCTTAAATAGGACATGTGCAAGGCAGATGTATTTGCAAAGCATGTCTTGTTTTGTTCTGGTTTAATTTAGTTTCTGCAAACAAGTTGTAGCTTGGTATCTCAGTCCTGCAGAACCTGCTTTCAAAGCAAGAGTATTTGAGACCTTTTCTTCCAGCTTGAAATTGATAAATCAGTGCAAGTGTAAAACCAAAAGTGTTGCTCAGGAATGGTTTGCTGTTGTGATCATACAGGAGGCAAAGAAGGGATGATATGCAGTTATCTGGTATTTCTGTCTATAGAAAATAAAAAGCCCAAACAATAACCAAAAAAAAAAACCCAAAACCAAAAAAGACCCCAGAACAAAACCACAAACCAAACAAATAAACACAGAAGACAGAACCAAGCCAACCAAACGAAAAAACCACAACAAAGACTCCTCAACTTGAGGAGTGTTGCATTAGATAAGCTGAAACTTTGGACTGGCTATACTGATGGTAGTTATCCTCCAAGAAGTAAATTGGGAAATAATTATTTTTTTCTTTTGTAACTAATGACAACCAGTATTTTGACATGAAAACAGCTGTGTTTTAGTTTTAATAGGCTGTCTTATCATTTTCCATTGTACTCAGATTAATATCTTAATGGTTTATTCCATACAGAGCTTCTTTAATTCTTCCAGAAGTAATCAAACATTGTTCTCTGCACTGAATGAAGAGAAAGTGGTTCTGTTCCTGCATTTGCTAGGCATAGACACAAATGGGCATGCTCATCGGCCAAACTCAAGGTAATTGAGAGATTAAGCGTAACTTCCTTACTAGTTTTAAATGCATACACTAACTTTAAGTGCTATTTATCAAGCCTGAAACAAGACTTGTAGTCTTGAGGGTTTCTGCAATAAGTCATACATGTCACCATGATCACTTATGTTCTAAATTTTCTGGGGTTTTTTTGTTTTTAAAGTCTCTTCTGTAGAAGTGACAAATTTTTGCTGTATATAGTGTGCTTGGTTATACTGCTGTACTCAAGTCTGATTTTGAGCAGATTGTCTTAGTTAAAGTCAACACATAATCTAGAGGTGTGGCAAATTGCAATTTTAACTATAAAATGGAAGCAGTTCTCAGATTCTCCATGGCTGAAATGATATGATTGAATTTATAATCAATGGTAAGCTTAGGAATAATGGCTGCAAATTCCAGTGTTATGTTTTAGCTTTCCTTAAGACACTTGAACAAAGAGTTTAGATTAACAGTACTCATCACCAGTTTATTTGAAAGTGTGTTATTTGAGAACTTTTCATTTCCTCACGTGCTTTGAATGTAGGATATATCGTCTTTCTCTTGATCTTTGCGTACTTTCAAAATCCTTACTCTGATTTCCTACATCATTCCAAAGTTCGTACTTATAGTATGTGTCATGTTCTTTTTGTTATGATTTTTTGAAGATAAAGTTTTAAAACTGATTTTAGCACCACCAACAAATAGAAAATTCATTGGCTGAAAGTTAATCATGGTCACTTTTTCTAAAAATACAGAAATTTTTTGTTTAGCCTGTATTCCACAAAACTGGGATCTGTGCTGATCTGTGAATCATCTCAAAACAGTCCCTGCATGGTGAGATCTTTCTTTGCTATTTAGTTACTGGCTTAAAATAATTTTTGAAACTTACAATTTAAGGCTTTTCAGTTTTCCAGTATTCCTTGGTTTTGGCATTCTCCTTAACTTGCCCAGCTGTGGATGGTTAAATTATAGCCTTCAATCAAGGACAGGTCAGATTTGAAATATAAATAAACATCCATTTGAGACTGTAGCTTCAGGAACCTTCAAACTGTGCTGTGACACTTTGCTCTCTCACATAGGACTTAAAGGAGGAGAGATTTTACATCTAGGATGCCTTTTGTTAGCTTGAGGTTCTGTAGAGGATATGTCTATGATCAAAGGAGTGGGCATTATGACCATGGATAACTTGCTTCCTACCCAGTGTGAAAGCCACCTTGAATCTAACAACATTTTTTCTTATTTTTCTAGGGAATACAAGGAGAACATTAAAAAAGTTGACGAGGGTGTAAAAGAAATTGCTTCAATGATTGACAATTTCTATGGAAATGATGGAAAAACTGCATTTATTTTAACTTCTGACCATGGAATGACAGATTGGGGTGAGTCTTTCCAAATGTTGAGTCAGCTGAGTTTATGAACGAGTATTCGGAGTGGGATTAGAACTTGGTCCCATTAGAAGCTTTGGAGCCCTTGCTTTGATTTGATATCCTAAGTGTTGCTCGTATATGAAACCCATGCAAATTAGGAAATGGCTAATTGGCTGTAGGGACCCCCATCAGCCCTGTGACAGCTAAATTGCACATCTGGACAGAAGAAAGAAAAGTAGTAGGGTAAAGCTTAACTCCCTTAGTGGCTGCTAGTAGGGATAAAAAGACCATAATACCACCTCTCTCAGAGCTTCCCTGTAGGAAACTAGCCCAAGCAGGAGAAGATTGTGTTATTTGGCTGCCAACAGCAAAGTTGGTGGTCTTCCAGCCCACATGGGAAATACAGTTTTCACTTTGGTGCTCTGAAGCACTTGGAAAAGGTGGCAAATCTGTCCAGGAGCTGGTGAAAAACTTGACAAGGAGGATCTTTTTGCTTATTTTGGCCTTTTAGACACAGCAGAAAGGATGGGCCTGCTGTGTGGTCTTTCTAGAGGAGGCTGGTGCTGGAGAGTAGGTGGAGCAGGTGAGAGTACAGGACAGAGAGAGAGGCAGGTGGCCAGCCAGGCTGGTACCCACAGAGGGCACTTCTGAAAGGCATGACTACAGTGGCCGAGTGACTTGGGGCAATTTTGACATAACTAGATAAAGGGCAGATGAGAAGAGTTTATGGTGGTGAACTCATTTAGACATAATTTTTTTTTCTTCCTTTTTTCTTTTTTCAAGAATTTTAAGAACGCTTCTGTCCTTTTGTGCAGCCAATGAAAATGATGTCTGTCTTCCAATGCTGTGTGTGTTTTGTAGCTCCTCACTGTGACACTTTTGAACCAAGGCGTGGTCTTGGCAAAATTCAGCATCTTGTTCTGTGTGTGAAATCCTAAACCTTTTAAATGGAAGGGATGCAGACTTTTTCTGTCACCAGAGATGACAAAAATATTTGTATATTTATTCAAAATCAGCCTAATTACCATCTGCTTATTTGCAAAATAGCCTGTTTTGAATATTATGTTGAGCTGAATACCACTTGCAATAAAATTTTAATTCTGGCATTTTTTGTCTGTTTCTCAAGTAATCATTTCATAATTTTTTATAAGGGAGGTATGGATTTTGGTTTTTTTTTTTTGTATGATATATGACCATAGGAACCTCAGGAGGTCCAACCACCTACTCAAAACAGGATCAGCTTTGGGATCAGACACAGTTGCTTGGGCTTTATCCAGCAGGGCCTTTAAAACCTCTAAGAATGGAGCTTATGCAAGCCCATTGGGCAGCCTGCTCCGCTACTTGCCTGCCCTCATGGAGTGGAAAACATTTTCTTTATCTGCAATCTGAACCTCCTTTGTTCGTACTTAAGCCTGTTCTCTCTCATCCTTTTACCATTCATCGCAGTGAGACCCTGGCTCCATCTTCTCTCAGCCCTCTTCACAGTGGAATACAGGCAGGATGCTCTGTTACGTCCTCTGCAAAGCCATTTCTTTTCCAGGCTGATGTGATGGGTTGACCCTGGCTGGAGGCCAGGTGCCCCCCGTCCTGTTCCACTTGGTGGGTGAGGGTGAAGTTAACTTTCTAATTCTCTGCACAGTCATCAGGAGTAACAAGAATTACTCTAGAGGTTCAAACTCACAAATTTACTTAAAACTCACCAGAACCACAAAAGATAGTGGCTTGGCAAAAGTTATAACAGTACTTAAAACTTAGTGGAACTACGAAAGGTAATGGCTTAGCAAAACTTGTGGTGATATTACCCTAATGTGCCAAAAATGAAGTTAAACACAAAGAGAGTGATGGAGAAGAAAAGAGAGAGAAAGAAAGGGAGGAAAAGAGAAAAGATATCGCCATCCTTGGATGCAGCAATGTTCTCTGCTCATAGTGGTAGTCCTCAGGTGGCAGGCATGCGCTGAAAACTTGTTTCCCCTCTTTTATAACCCAATGTGCTCCTCCCCATAGGCGGGGGTCTGTCATCACTGAGCGGACGTAGTATATGCTCAGGAGTGTTCCAGAAATGAGTTGGTGGGTTGTGGGTGTCTTGGGGGTCTCACTGTCCCCCCACACAGACACACTTTGGAGTCGACTAAGTGATGGCCTTTCACAGGCACACACGCACAGGACACAGATGGTCTTTTGTCTAAATGTTCCAGGAAGAGGGGAAGGGGCTCACAAGATAGTATGCTGCCTCCACAGGTTCTGTCCTTGGTCGAGACGGATGTCTGTGACGTTGCCTTGTTATCAGTTTATCCCTGCTTGGGTCAACACGGATTGACATTCCCTGGTTATCAGAGCCTTACACCCCCCAAAGCTGCTCTGTTACTCCCCTACTCAGCTAGACAGGGGAGAGAAAATGTAACAAAAGGCTTGTGGGTCAAGATAAGGACAGGGAGAGATTGCTCCCCAATTACCATCATGGGCAAAACACACTCAACTTAGAAGCCTCTCCTCACAGGACAAGTGCTCCTCCAAACAATTTGCGCCCCCCACCCCCCTCTCCCCACCTCATTGCAGATGGTTGATGTCCTTCCTGTACTGGAGGAGCCCAAAACTGGATCCAGTGTCTAGAGGTTGTCTCACAGGTAGAGGAGGATAATCCCTTCCCTGGACCGTGCTCCTGTTAACACAGCCCAGGGTGCTGTTGGCCTTCCTCGCTGCCAGGGTGTGCTACTGGGGTGTTCTCATTATCTACTGGATCCTTTGAAGGGGAAATAAAAGGTAATAGGAGTAACTCTTCAGACTTTGTCATAGTTTTCTGTCATCTCTTTCTGTCTTGAAGAAAAAGCTTGATCTTCTGCCAGAAGTGTTAATGAATCTTGTGAGTCCGAGAGCAAACCCAGAGATGACGCTTAGGCCCATAGCCAGCAGTCTGTATCAGCAACTGCTGCAGTCTTTCAGTGGTTATTTGCAGAATGGGATGTGCACTAGTTTTAAAACAAATTAAAAATTAAAAGGGCAGGAGGGACCTATTAGGGAAGAGAACATGTTCTGAACTTGACATGATCAAAGAAACTGTGGTTGTTGGCAAAGACCGATAAAATCACTTGCTTTCTCAGTCTGGCTCCATGATTTTGCTTTAAGCTGATCTTAGATGGAACTGCTGACCACCAGCATAGGTGGTCCCACACCCACCCTCACCTTGGCCACTTGATCCTGCTATGCTCCTGGCATAAGCACTACTATATAGTATGCTGGACCAGAGAAGAGAAAACTAAACAGCAGCACCCTTTCCCTCCCTTTCCCTTGAAATGGTGCGTTTGGAGGGTGCTGAGGCATAGAACAGGCAACTGACCCAGCTGAAAATCAAATTAACTTTTCCCCCTCTTATAATTCAGATCAGGCTGAAACATGATTCTTGTAACAGGAGGAGGGTGGATACAGCTGCCTCTCTCAGCTGTATCTGCCTTAAAGTATTCATGGAGTAGCGGTAAAATGCTGATGGAGCTGATGGCTCGGCTAAAATGAAAGCTCACTAAAAATTGCACTTTCCTCCTGCAATAGAAAGAAGTAACTGATGCCTGGAGGATGGAGGAAGCGCTCTCTCCATCTGCTCTTTTCCCAAACTCTTCAAGAAGAGCAGTTGTTACTGCTTGTGAGCCCAGAGAGTGCCTTCCAAGGGATTTCTGAACATTGGAAATCTTAATCCCAGACCTCTGTGTTCTTAAGTTTAGGGCTGTTTAAAGAAGGCAAAGCTGGCTCTTCAGTTCTGCCACAGTGATTGTTGTACAGCCTCAATGCTATGCCCAATTTCATACCCAATTCTGGTTGGAGGAAAAAAAAAGAAAGAGAAAAAGAAAGCTGTCCTTAAAATAATGTGTTATTCTCTGTCCTTTGTAATTATTAATATACATATACACACACATGCACAGACAGAAGAGTGTGTGTCTATGCAAATACAAGGAAAATGTATAATCCTGTAGACCGTGCAGTAACTGGCATAGAGTTTGTATAACAATGTCATTCCCTTTGAGACTGGGTTATCTCACTGCCGTGGTACCTCACCCACGGAGTTCAATGACCAGCATTTCTTTCAAGCTTGTGTGGCTTCTGCTTCAGTGCAGCTGGTGTTAAGACATCATCGTTTTAAAGCTTCCTCCTTTTGGCGGCTGATACGTTAATCTGGAGGGATTTCATTTCCCCAAGGAAGGAAGTCATGTTTTATCAATTTTTAAGGAGTGTGCTGCCAGGCTTTAAAACCTAAGAAATGAACTTGTGTCACTGGGGAAAGGATGACAGGTGCAATGCATATTGTCTCCTGGTTTTGAAATGGAACTCTAATCCTTACTTGGGGACTGGAGGTCAGTTCTATATGACTTTTTGGGCATGTGCCTAATTGGACTCAAATCAACCATCCCTGGTTTCCATGGGATGCTCAGGATAGGCACGTGCATGTGTTTTGAGCAGGTAACTCCTTTATACCTTGAGGCTTTCAAATACTTTGGCTTTAATTTCTGTATGTTAACAGTATGGGTTTTTTAAATATACAAAGTTACATCTTTAGAGGCTTGACTTAAATGGTACCCATTTCCCAACTTGAATTTAGCCTTTATTGTTAGTGGCATAAAAATAAGCTATGAAGCTGGTATAGACTGTCTGTTAGTATGTATACTGTAACAAGAACTTGATACATGTGTGTGCGTGTATATATATATACAGGTTTTGTTTGATTTGACACCATGCATCTTAAAGTTTACACGTTTTTTGGTTTGGTGTATCTTAGGATCTCATGGAGCTGGTCATCCCTCAGAAACTTTAACACCACTGATTGTTTGGGGTGCTGGGGTGAATTATCCACAGAAAGTCAAATCCCAGTTCTTTGAAGACAATTTTTTGAAAGGTAAGTAAAATATAAAAATTAAGTGCAAGATTTTGGTGGAAAGGGAGGTGTTTAACCATTACAGCTGTTGATCTTCACTGACTTCTCTTCTGTTACAGTAAACATGACTTGCTTTGTGTGGTGTGGAAAGAAAAGGTTACAGGGCATGTCTAGGGAAGATATTGCAAAATTGGGTAGATAATATCGGAGTCAGTTTTCTTTTCTAATCATGGAATTGAAGACTTTCTCTCTTTGGGTACAGGAGGTTATTCACACTCCTAAAACTTAGTTCCAGAGGAGACTTAATGCTTAGGAAGACTTCCAGAGGTTAAAAGCTGTTTGTACAGAAACATGATAAGTTGACGTGTCCTAAGACTTTTCCAGTTTCACAGTACAACCCTGGGGACTTTCCAGGGGCTGTCTTGTCTCACTTGCATCCTTGTGACTGCTGTGGAAATGTAAACAATCTTTCTCAATGAAAAACTGTGACTCCTTAATGTCATTTTTCTCCTTTGTAATTTATTTAAGAAGAGTAAGCTTTTTAAAGAAGATGTATTTTTTAATATTTCAAATATATAATGTAATAAATCCTGACTTACTGAAATATCAATGGATTTCTAGAACCATGTGTGATTAAACTGTGTAAGCTCTTCTTCTTTCATGTGCCAATTCTTACAGCCTGTTCTGTTTCTTAAGATGCCTTGAATCTCTCAGGTTGTTACTCAGGATCAATGAGGTAATGACTTTGTATTTTACTGGATTGTTTGTCTAAGCTGTGTTAGACAAAACAATTACTTCAGCCCTGAGGTTTTAAGCACACCTTGCTCTTGAGGAGGTGTTTGGTAACAAATTAAACAGGACTTCTCAGATGCAGGCCATGCTAACGTTTCACTCTTTGTGATTAACTGCGCTATAAAACTATGACATCTTTGATAAAATTGAAAATGAGTTGTAGAAAAAATAGAAGACAGAGTAAAACCAACTGATTTTGGTGTCTGTGACAGCTGATCTGCTAGACTTCTAAGGACACTTGATGTCTCTAAGGGTTGATCTGTAATAGTTGATTTTTACAGCTGTCAGTTTCCGTGATTCTCAGCAGCTTTAGTACAAACCTCAGCGTTCGACTTCAAGTAATGATGAAAATGGTGTGAGAGCATTTCAGAAAAGATGAGTATTGAGCTGACTTCCAGGTACACAATAGGGAAAGCTTTTTGGCTGTCATCTGTTAGGAAATGTGTATTTTCTTAAAGAAGGGAATGTGTCTGAACCCTGCTGTGCCTGCTTCATATTCTCCTTCTGATGCTTTATAAAAAAAACAAACCAACAACCAGACAAAAAACCAAACACCCCAAAGCAAACATCAGAAACTCTTCCCTTCATTCTGGACTTGTTCTGCAGCTTTCCAGCTGTCGAGCATGTTGTTGGTCTGTTCAGACACTATCTTTACAGATTCTTAATTGCCAAGGATAATCTTTATTGGAGATTTGAGTCTCTCTGAGTATCTTGGGAGTCTGAATCTCTATTTGAGTAATGAATATCTTCTTAAGAAGTGACTATTCTTTCTATGATCGTACATTATAGTTTCTAGTAGGCTGTGTAGCTTAAAAGTAAAGAAAAAAAATGTTGTTGAAATGGAACTTGGCACTTTTGCAGGTCAATACAGTTCAGCCACTCCATTAAGTTACAATCCCAGATATTTTCACAAAGCTCACATGAAAGAAAAAATGCTTAGAACAGGTCTCTTGAAAAGTTCTTTGAATTTGTCTTTCCTGCTACATACAAATGCAGCTGAGACTGTGTGCAGGAGAGGAGAGCATTTCAAGACTGCTGTGTCACTGATGTATATGGGTGTCCAACTTACATTTGCGATTACACACACCGGTGTTCATGTTCTTGTCTATTGACAATCCTTCCTAATTTCTCTGAGTTAAGAGTTCATGAAAACGGCAGAATATTTCTAATGCTGACAAACTTCTTATGTTCTCTTCAGTGCAAGCAGGCTGTAGGCAGCTCAGTGAATTGTCTCTCTTCTCAACATTGCCACTGAGGGTTGATACCCCCAAAGGTGATGCCAACAGGCAGGACTTTATCCAATTTGTCACGGGAAGATTAATGTGCTCCTTGAGTGGTGCAGTGTCTGTTCTGGGATGACAGCCTTCTCATCAGCCCCTTCACCTGTGCTCCGCCTTCCCTCAGGCCTGGCCATGCAATCATCTTGGAAGGATTTGTGATGGCAGCCCTGCATCCTGAGGGTGATGTGTAGCATTACCCATTTGGCCATTGGCTTGACCCTTCTTCAGAAGGAAAGAGAATAAGGAGCTGCTCTCTGGCTCCTCAGCGCAAGCCCCACCGGGTGGTTTTGGGGTCCAAGTCCAGAGAAGCTTGTAAGTGAAGGCACAGCCTTCTGCAGCAGGAGAACGTGATGTGGTTGTTTTCATCTATACACATGCCTGATTTAGAGGGCCCTCAGCCTGCTTTGCCGCAGCTGAGCTCAGTGTACCCCTTCAGTGTTTTTGCTTCTGTGAGGTTTTACCTGAGATTTTCTGTGGTTCGTATAGCCTCAGCCTCTTCTTGAATTGGTGCTTCCCTGCTGTTTCTCCTGGACTGTTTGTATCCAACTGCCCAGAGGGCTGCAGTAAAAGCAGGGCAGGATAAAGGAAAAAAACCCCACAACCCTATCAAGCGAGTGGAAAACTGTGCTGAGCACTGTACAGGAAACCTAGACAGTGAGCTGGAATCGTAAACCATTGTGGGCAGTACGTACACCCAGGACGTCTCACTCCTGGGAGTACAGCCCAGACTGGCTGGTCTGCAGCTGTGTCCCGGTCCTCGGGAGCTCCTGGGCTTCATGTCTTATGGCTCCTGGTCCAAGGCAGATGTTCTCAATTCTGTGCCTTCCCCTGAGTAAGGGAAGTGGAGATGTAAAATTTCTGACAAAAGTAGATGTTTCTTTAGCAGAGCTACAGTTTCTTCCTACCTTAAGCACCTTGTGTGCATGTAGATAGTTTTCCAACATTTTTCATTGGAAAATGTTATTTAAAGGAAAACAATGCATTTATATAATAAAAATACAGGTGAGAGTCTGTATCTCTAGAAATATAAACCCATTTCCTTTTCTGGGAAGCAAAAGGAAGCAAACTTGCACATTTTGGTGTGAGTTTAACACAATTCATGATTGATGTTGATACTACTTCCCCTGCGTTGCCATGGGAACTCACTGTAACTGTATGCCTTGCTGCTGTTAAGGTACATGGCTGCTTTTCAGGGTGCTCTTGGGACCAAATAACAGTGGACCTGTAGTCAGACCCCTGAAGCTAGCAGTGGTATGAACTAATTGCTGAAAATAAGATTGGCACGTGCAATGCTGCAAATGTGGATGTTTCCTGTCTCAGGCTGTTTTCAGCTGAGACAGGTTTGTGTCTGGCACAAACAGGGTGTATCGGAAGATGGAGAAAGGGTGGTGTGGTGTAGGATTTGAATACCTGCTTGGAGAAAATAAATGAGTTTGAGCCAGACTTTTGAGTGGAGGTTTACTGTTTATTCTTCATCTAGCCTGTGTCTGGTGTATTTAAACTTCTTCTACTTCACATAAACCCGAAGGATAATTTTGGGCAATGTGGCTGCACCATCAATGGTTTGAGTTGCTAGGTGGACTCCTGCTTCCATCTGTGCTGTTTCTGCGGTGTCATTTTGGTAGATGGTGTTAGCAGGGTGTTGACTGGCCTGTCTAGGTTGGTGTGTATGGACAAAGGTGTCTGTGCCCCTGTTGCTAACCTTAAGTTTCGTTCCCAAGTTGAGGGTAGGTGCCCCCAACATCTTTATGGCTGTACTTGAGATCTGCTCTAGGTAGGCCGTTGACAGTATTTTAAGTACTGTATCAGCAAGTCTGTTTCAGCCCTTATCATGTATCTGATTTTTTTTTTTAAGCTTGAATTAAAACAAAAGTGCTGTGTGTCCTCTTTTTTGGGTGTTTTGGTGGGTTTTTGTTGTGGGTTTTTTTCCTGCTCATATTATTGCTGTGAGTAGTGGGGCAGGGAATTTAAACATTAGGAAAAGTAGACGTGAAAAAAAAAAACCCAAGCCTGGCTAAATTCTGTTTTTAAATAACTCTTCACCCCCAAAGAAAACAGGCAATTTCCTCTTTATTTCCTTAGAGGCTAATGGAGAGCACGAAAATACGGTTTTGAACCAGCTTTTTGTATGATGCACCACAGCTTTAGGGGCTTGTATATTTGGCTTTGTTTCTGCCTTCATAGTAGTTGTTCTGATTGCTAAATTGTTGAACTTTTCCCTTGAGCTTGCTCTTGGCCGGTATTGCTTATGGCAGACGTGAAGTATGCTTGTACCACTCTGTACCAGTATATTGGGGACCTTGGGTTAACCTTTTTTAAAAACTATTGAAGAGATTTAAACAGCCCTTCTGCTAAACCTGAGTTTGAATCTTTTCGTTGGCACAGGAGGTAATACATCACTTTCTATACTGTGCTGAAAAAAATAAAAACCTTGGACTTTCTTCAACTGATCTGGGTCACAATTGCAGGCAGCAATTTATCCTGATGGATAAAAGAAAATGTGAACTGAAATGAATGCATTTTATTGTTTCTGCCTGTTGAGTTCCATCTGTAACCCCTCTTGAGCTAGGATCCTAAAGCCAAATTATAATTCTCTTTAGTAACAACACTTTACGGAAAATGGCAACAAGACATTAAATGTCAACTGAATTATCCCTTTCAAAGCTGTTCATGTGCTCTGTTATTTCTTGCAGAATGGAAACTGGAGGACTTGAAGAGGCTGGATGTCAATCAGGTATCAAACATACTTAATTCAATAGCTCTTGAATTTTCACCTTAAATTATGAGTTTTCTATGATTTAAACTTATTGATGGAATTTGAATGAATGATCACACTGAGGTAGCATTTCCCTGGAATGTGTTACTTAAGTATTAGAGTTGCAGGAACCACACCCATACTGAACATAATAGGAAAAAGTTTAAATTGCTTGTTAAACCCGTGGCAGCTACATACAACTTCTCTTCCTGAAGATGCATTATCACACCATTTTTAGTATGTGATCCTATGCTGTTGTAGAAAGCGTGCAATACAATATGCCAGGTACTCCTTGAAAACTCACTGCGTTATCTGAAAGTGACTTGAATAGCATCTGGCATATTTTCAGAGTGTGATTTGGTTTTGCAAACCTTTAGAAGTAACTTGTGATGCTTTCCCTCTACTTTCTACTTTGAAAATGTTCTGGAGCTGAGCTTACACCTTCTTGGTATCTCTTATGAAGGTGCCCAGCTAAACACAAAAAAAGCGTGATCTGATGACCACATTTCCCAAGTTTGTGAGCATCTGCTGTATGCTTTTTGCTACACTTAAGTTAGCCATGTGTATGTTCAGTTTAGTTTTTCAGAGCTATCTATTTCAATGTCTGTATTTTGTCGCTTTTTCCAGAAGTTGCTGTCGTTATTGAATCAAAACCAATTCTTGCTATAGTGTTAAACTGTATTTTTTTTTCATCAGGATGTGTGATTATGGCTTAGAGATTTAGCAATTTAGACAATTGGTACTGTAAAGGAAGAAAAAAAGGTGGACAACTTAACCCTTGATACTAAATCAGCCAAGCTGATGATAATGCATGTACGTGTGTGCACCTGAAGCTTGTTTGCTTGTTACTTCCTGTCATCCTATGAAACCCAATACATGAATAACAGATTCCAAGCCTGCTCAAACAAGGGAAATAAACTCATGTTGGAAGGTTGAAGTTGGGAATGTTCTGGATCAGCTGCTTTCAGCAAAGCCCTGGTACAAAATTAGAGATGAATTTTCCACTCAAGGTTGGCAGGAGTTACGGGGATGTTATTTTGAGACTGTGTAGAAGAGTCTTGAGTGTCACTTTGTTCTGGGTAACGGAGTCCCCAGAGACAGAGCTTTTGTCTTGTAGTATGTGTGGGACTATGGGTAAAAATAGCAAACTGGACTTCTGCTTGATATTACACTACGTGTGTATTGTCCTTGACGAGTAATGGTTTGGAGTCTCCTTCTGCACAGTAGATCTGAGACTGGAGCAGTGCCTGTGGTTCCAGTATAGTTTCTCCAGATCTATGCTGGAAAACCAAAGAATTTTGGTGCATAGTTTTATATTAAAAGAAAATACAAAACCTGGTGAGAACCAGTGTTTATTATCACAAGTAGAAGGTAATGGTAACATTTTATGAGAAGTGTTGGTGTAGATTGAGGGGCCTTCCTGAGGGCTGACTGGGACATGAGTAAAAGTGCAGAATCCCCCTCTGAAGGGGAGAAAGTGAATAATTGGCACCGTGGAAACACGGGATAAGGAGTGCTGTGAAAAGCAGTATATTCAGTGTACTGCTTAAAACTGTAAATATGAAATTAGTTCTTTCTGTAGTATAAATAGTCATAAAAAGTGGTATGCCTCTGAGTGCTGTGAAGGAGGTACTGAATTCCTGTGAATAAATACTGTGGGGTTTTATATTTGCTTTTTAAACTAAATGCATTTTTGAAGCTTTATCAGTAGCGGAGCCTCACATTTTGAATCTAATCATGCAATGATGACTACTGGAAATTAAAAAAATATTATAAAGGAGTTTTGTGTATCATAACTTCACAGTATTATGCATTTACTTCTGCAAATGTGGGTACATTAAAATTAAACTGAATTTATTAGCTCTAGAAGCTGAAACTATCTTAAAATGGGGATGCTTCTGTTTGCATAGGCTGATATTGCACCGCTGATGGCTTCCCTTATCGGTGTGCCTTTCCCCCTGAATTCTGTGGTAAGCAGTACAAACGTTTTTCCATGTTATAGAAATCTGCTTGCAAAGAGGTGTTGGGGACAGGACTTGAGGTGTGTGAGGGAAGGGTTATAAATTTGGAAAACTGCTATAGGTTATGGAGACTGCTTGTAGTTTTAGCTTTATATGCAAGTCCTCAGTTTGGAGCATAAACTCAATCTTTTTATATATTATATAGTGCTTTCAATTGGAAAGGCAGCAGATCCTTTTATAATCTGCAACTTTATACTCCTGAGCTACATAAAAGTTTTTTGTTACTTTGGTTTATTAGGGATGGTTAAAATGCAATATGGTTTGAATAACACTTGATTTTGATCATGAAAGCTGAGTCTGTAAATAAGTTCCTGCAATTTAATGTTTAATTATATCTTGTTTAAACTGGTGTACTTTCTTCAGATGATATATTGTGCCCCTAGTGAACAGTGAGTGCCCTCACTGTGAGATGGTTTTACCTTTGCATTTCCTTCGTATATTATTACATAGTCCAAAGATTGTCTCATAAATAATCTAATTGACAATTAGCATTACATTAGTGTGCTTTCATGCAGCTTGTTTCATTTTTAAAATACCTACTTACAGCACACTTTTTAAAAAATATTTCTTCTGGAGCCTGCCCCAAATTCTGTCCTCCTGTCCTGCACTCACTGCTGGCCATGCATGTGAGGAAAGCTGCCCAACATAGGGTGGCACGGGAACTGCTCGCTTTCGCGTCACAAGTACTGGGTGAGTCAGGCCCAGGCAAGTCTTTGGATGGAAGACTTTTAGGCATTTCAAAAATGGCTTCTGATTAAAAGTTGAGGTTGTATTACTATATGATATATATTTTAATAATAACTTCCATTATTTACCTCTTTTACGTTTCTGTAGGAGCTGGGATATTATGAATAGTCCCTGTAATGTTGAGAAATTATATGAGAAGAGTATTTTCAAAGGAGTTACAGTTATTTCAGCAGTAATTTGAAGTATTCTTACTGCTCATTTGGCTTGCCATTGAGTTAGAGAAATTCCTGTTCCTTCATTTAAATTTTTTTATGTATATATGTATTTTTCTTCCCCAGGGAACTCTGCCTCTTGAATATCTGAACAATAGTGCTCATTTCAAAGCAGAGAGCATATTTACCAATGCTGTTCAGATTCTCGAGCAATTTAAGGTAACTAAACATATGGTAAAGAAAAATATTTCTTTGAATAATAGTTGTTGCTGTGTGTAAAATAATTATACTAGGACATACGCTGTATATAACATGCTGTAATTCAAAGGACTAAAATTGAATGCTCATACTGAGTGATGTTGATTGACTAGCTGTGAGCTATATCTGAAGGAGTTTGGAAGACTTTAATAAACACCTTTTTTTTAAGGAGTAACTTTTTTGATTCTTAACATAAATGCTGATGTTTATTGATGTTAATGTAAATCTACTTGCAGTATGTAGGTATAATCTGAGTGCTGATACCTGAAAAGGGAAATACTGCCTTTGCAACAGAGGCTGGGAAACAAGGCTCTAAGTCAGGATCAGTATAGAAACAGATCAAAAAGGTAACGGGCACCTGTTCATTAAAGAAATGAAATTAGTGGCCTAATTAACTTTTAACTAATTCTGTTGTATCTGTTGTTTTGCTTTGCAAGTGTTCATCTCTGGCTTCTCTGTCTTGATTCATCTAATACTGGATATTGTCATATTATGAGAACACATATGTGGTCCAATCAAAAAAAAAAAAAAACCAAAAGGTTCTGTTTCACTAGATAGTGGAATAAGAAACAGTCCCAAATCACAGTTTTGGCAAGACATAGAAATACTCTGAGGGAAAACCATACTCTCCACAGGCAGGAAGCTGAGCCACACAAGAACTGTCAGGAAATTCGTGTGATGAATCACCTGCAAGAGATTAGCACCATCAGCACCTTCTATCCATTGAATGCCAGGCTCCCAAATGTAGTTTGTGTGGATACCAGGATGGCAGTGTCAGCAGCAGTGTCACTTCCAAATCTATGGTGGAAAGCTGTCATGTAGCAGAGGAAGTGACTGGCAGGCTGGACGTGAAGTTGAAGCATGCTGATATAACCTCTGCAGTTGGAAGACCTCTGCTCTGAAAATTAAGGGTGTGACTTGGGTCTTTTTCAGTTAAATTGGTGTCTCTGGGATTATTTTTAAAAAAGAAAAAGTTATCCTTTTATCCAACCTAACAAAAGGTTGTCCTTCTCTTTAAGTTTATTCTGTCATTTTGTAGTACTAAATTATCTATTTTCTTGTTGGCTGGCTTGTTTCTAGCATTGTTTTGGAAGGATTGTATGTGAATTTCCTTTGTGTTTCTTTGCTGAAGCAGAATTAGCGCACTGGCTTAGACATGCCAAGTGGGTTTTTACTTTTCCTGTGATAGACTGACCTGACCATGGTTTGTACTTCCTGGAAGAGGATGACACCTTGGATGGATAGGATGCGGTGTGCAGGTTGCTGCTTCAAGCTGTCAAAGGTTTTGGGAGCAGTGCACTTAGAAAGTTCCTGTCGGTGCTTTATACTGGCAGTCAGACTTGAATCAGGCTGCTGCAGGAGGCCTTAAAGATGTTTTTGGGCAAAGTGGCTCTGATGACATCAAAACTTTCTATTTTTATCCATATGCAGGTTAATCGATCTAACAGCATTGCTTTGGCGGCGTTGCCACAGTGTACTTGTTCCTGCCTGGCATAAATAATACCAGTTTCATAGGGGGAGGCTGTCACTGAAGCCTGGTAGCACTTTTACCCGTAGCTTCCCTTTGTCCTACAAACTGTAGAAGTCCTGTGAAAATCACTGGCTGTGAGGCAGCTTATTTTACCTACTTTACAGCAGTTCTGCGTTTCCAGCAATGCTAGTTCAGCACTCAGAGGAGTTACACATACAAGAGCATAGCACCCAGTTTCCTAGACAATATGTCAACAGTGTGATTTCATTCCTTTTCCAAAGCCTCAGAACTCTTTTGTGATTTTTTTTTTTTGTTTAATTCCTGATATAATTTTTAGTCTTGTTGCAACTTGCATATAACAGTTTAATGTTTTTTATGCAGGTTAAGATGAGTCAGAAAAAGGAAACTACATTGTCATTTCTGTTCACACCATTCAAGTAAGTGCCTGTAAATACTAAATCTATTTTACACAATTGTTTGTCTTATCACTGTGGTATTTCAGCAAGATGCAAAACAGCATAGTTCAGTCTTGTCATGCTTTTTTTAAATGATAGTGTTTATCTGACTATGAAACTTTGCATTAGAATGAACTCTTTGCAACTAATTTCTATTTAAAAATTCTGGTTAGAAGTACAGTTAAAAAAAAATCCATTCCTTACATTTAGTCTTCCATTAAGCATTATTTGCCTTTGACAATATAGCTATACATAGACTGCATGGTGGTTTTCACTGACTTTTTTTTTTTTTTTTTGCTATCTTCTTTTAGCATTCCTTGAGAGGTGTAAGTTCCTATAGGGTCAGGAAATACAATCCGTTCTTGTTTATATGTATGTAAAAGTTGAACTAACAATTGTTTCTTCTGTGATTTAAATTCTAATGAAAACAATCACAATGCCTTGCATCCAGAAATGAATCTCAAAATCTTTAGAATTTGTGCTGCCTAGTGTTAGTGTTTCCAGGGCTGTGAAGGAGTCTCTGTAGTGATTTGAGTATCAGCGAGCTCTGTGTTCTAGTGTATGGAGCAGTTACTGACCCACTCACCCTTCAGTCTTACCCAATTAAAGCTACGTTTTTCCTTTTCCTTTCCCCCCTGAAAGGTTTTCTGAAAGCTTTGCTGTGTGTGCACATAATACCGTTCAGTTCTGCTTTCAGTTTGTGGAGTGCTCTGAAAACAGTTTGCCACCAAGAGCAGCTGTTTTCCTTTGGGAAATAAGACTGATGTTAATTAAGATCTTTAAATCATAGGAACAGTAAAAAATACTTGAATCTCTGTGAAGTATGTTTAACCACTAAATAAGACTGCTGTCTTTCTGAACAGAGACTTACTGTTATTTTGTATCACTAGCTTCTTCAAAGGGAGAAGTTCAAAACAGTCTCTTGAGACACAAGTCAAGTCAATCCTGGACAAATAATGAATGTTTTAGATAAAATTCTGATTAAGAATGACAGGTGCATTATCAAAGGATTTACTGATCTGTATGGAACAAAAATACCATATAGAAAGAGTGGTCAGTCATCTTTGATTCTCTGGGGAAGGCTATTAGTTTAATTTCACAGCTCTTGTTTAAATTTTACCTTTCCTCATGAAATAAGACTGATTCAGTAAAATAGGATGTGTTTTTCTTAACGCTAAATTTAAAGGAACTAAGTGTTATTGATTACCTTATGGACTGGTGTCTTCCTTTTTTTTATGATATGTTGGAATGCTTTAAGTGGTAATGCTGGAGACATTTATCACTTTGAAAATATGACTGAAACTTGGTATGAATAGCCAATGAAGTTCTCACTGACTGGAAAAGTGGAAACA